GTATGTGGGATCCGAACCCTCGGGCGGGAGCACCGCCGCGCTTCCCAAGCAGCGCACTATCCAGTGCGCCGCCGGGCCGGCCCCTAGGGTGAATCTTTAACACACAGGGCTGCTTGGAGAATTAGCAACAATGCATGTAGAGCAGGTGTCACCCAGTACGTACGAGAAATCTTCAAAAAGTTCATGGAATAATCTGTGTTATCTTCTAATTCCATTTTTCCATGAAGTTTTCAAAGTACCCTTGTATGTAGTAAATGAACTTCCCCACTCCCTGGCTTTCCTGTCTACAGTTGCCATATCACAGATCTTGTGTTGTTCTTAGCTTTTTCAGAAATGTAGCACTGTGATTTTATTAGCCGTCTGTGGTTCTAAGTACATTCAGTTAATTGTTTTCAACCGTCATGTAGCGCTTCCCTTCCCAATCCATTAGTGCTGGATGCCCACCCAGGCTGCTTCCACCTCTCCTCTGCCGTGAGCCGGTTTGTACATGTCTCCTTATCTGCCTTCCTGAGACTCTCTTTGGGATCTATGCTTGGGAGCCTGCTTGCTGGGTCATAAAACACACATCGGCTTTCCTTGTGCATGCACTGGCAGTTGCCCTACGGAAGGGCAGCTCCCGTCACACCACTATCAACACCTGCGGTCCCTCCACCCCCACACCTCAGCTACCCCTCAGCATTTCTCACCTTGTTATGTCACACTTATTTCTATGCCTTACATAGATGTGAGGTGACACGTCCCATTGTTAGATAATTTCCATTTCTCTGATAACCAGTGACTTTGAGTATCTCTTCTTAAGTCTCCTCTGTTTGAGCTCCCGTGAATTCCCAGATCACATCCTCTGTCTACTTTTCTCCTGTTATTTCTGTTGCCGATTTGTAGGAATTCCTACCGTCAAGATATTGTCTAGATCTATATATGTATTGTAGACATCCTCTCTGAATCTCTCACCTGAATGTTCACTTAGTCCACAGTATCTTTTATGACACATAAATCATTAATTTTCTTGCACATTAACCCTTTTTAATTTCTTTTTTGTCTTCCAGTTTGTGCTTTTGGGGTTTTAAGAGTTCCTACTCCTAGGTCACGAAATGTCTCTTATGATATCTTCTTTTAGCTTTATAGTTTTATCTTTCACATATAGGAGAATTCTCCACCTTGCAAATGGAACAGGCAAGGGTCTAGTTCTTTCTGTTTCCACACTACCCGTCGTCTGTGTGTTGGGGCCCAGAAAACAACACCACAAAGTGAAGGCCTCAGAAACAGCCTCAAAAACAAAGTTTTCCTTTAACTTTTCTCCTGTCCTTCTGTCTCTCTGCCTCATCCTCCCCCGAGGCGAATAGAAATTAGATCCCTCTTTCCCAAGGCAGGTCATAGATATGCTCTAACCTTCCCCCTGCCTTTCTGTCTTGGGGACTGCCATATAGAAGTTCTCTGACCTACTTTTGGGCGGGGTGGGCCGAGGGCGGTGCAGGAGGCGGCCTCGTCAGGGCCTCCCCTCCCATGCCTGATTTGTGGGGTGGCGTGTCTCAGAGGGTCAGAGATTTGGACAAGCTTGTCGGAAAGTTGTGTGCCCAGAACCCCCTTCCTCCCCACGTCTGGTGTTCTGAGGTGGGTGCTGGAGTCTGGGCTAGGCTTGGGATATGCAAGCCCACAAGGGGGTCCGAGGCACGAGTATCCCTCCTCGCTGCCTCTCACGCTCATCGGGGAAGGGGAGGGGGTCCTGGGCAGGGTGCTGGATACGATGGGTCCGGGATGTGGGTCCTGGGCACAGTCAGAGTCCCCACCCCTCAGCAGGAACAGCATCGGGCAGACGTTCGCCATGGCCGAGATGAAGGTGGCCCTGGCGCTCACACTGCTG